GACAACAACTCCACAGGGTGCCTTTAAACGTAAAATATAACAGGTAGTCAAGCCCTTAAGAATGTCTACAAGATAAGATATTACACAATTTGATGTCCATTTATACTATTTCAGTAGTTGTTCTACATTAACTGTATCACAATGAATCTGATTTCAGCCTATAAACTGACACAATCATCTACAGACTAACACAGTATAAATAAAGAGAGGCAATAAGATGCAGAGTTATATAGGAGGAAAGAGGAGAAGCAGTGAAGCAAAGTGAGAAGAAAACCAAAGAGGGGACAGGAGGAGGCCAGAGAGTGGCCTTGCTTTACAATAAGAGGATTGCGACGCAGCCCGATAATCCTCCCACAATTCAGCAGGACAACGGAGTGAGCTCACATCTCATTCAGCCCTCCAAGTCTCATCCTTAAAATGAGGCTAATTAGCAGCTAATCCTGACCACTGCCAAAATTACCCACTGTTTTTGAAAGACTGGCGTGTGAGAAGGACAGTGTTGAGACAAGAACAACTTCTGGCCAGGAAGTTCACTTCTAATATGAGGCCTATTTCTTCCATCAAATGTTGCTGTTTACCAAATTTAAATTAAAATTAAATTAAATGATCAACTACTCAAAGTGGTTTGTCTTGGTTTTGATTTCCATTAACATGATTTGTGCAACATTCTCTTAATCTCATTTCTGTTCTCAATACAATTTCAAGGTTATAGATCTTCTTTACAAGGTGGTTAATTGTTTAAAATATTTTCTACTGTACCTGTTACATCACATCTCAAAATCAGACATTAGAGTTGAGTTATCAGGAATCCCACACAAGAAAGTGGCAAGTAAAGAGTCTGAATCATCTCCTGCAGCCAATGAAAACTGTGAATGGTTTATCTATTTGCGTACTTCCCTCTCTTTCCCAGATCCCAAACCAGACTTCTTTTAGTAAACAAACTAATGCTAGTCAGTTCCCACACTTAGAAAGACAGAAGCTAAATTTAGAGAGCTATATTTTGACAAGGTAACAAGATGTCTTTGTGTAACTTTTCTTTTTTTAGGATGACAGGCATTATTGGTTATGACAGTGTCCCAGTTTCGGGAACATCTATAACAGCTGTTCTCCAGGTCAGGATTTGGGTGGCTATGTGAGAAAAATCACTCTGAGCAGAGCAGCATGCACTATAATTCTACCCAATGAAATTAAATTATTGTACAATTGTGCCAAGCAATCTGGTGAATGAATGTTAAATGAAATCAGAGAAACTTGTTAAGGTGACTCAGAGGTGAAAAACCAAGAGAGAAAAACTGCAATTTTGGCATATAAAAATAATGAGAAGAGACTTTGATCTGAACACCAAATAAAGAAGACTAGTGATGAGAGATTGAGTGGGTGAGTAGCTAGTGTAAATGATGAAAATGAATCAACCAAAGCCACAATTATGGAAAAAAAAAAATACAGATTTTCCCCCTAGATTGATTCCAGACATGGTGAGTTTCACCAAAATATCTTGTTATTTTTTTCTCAATTGACTTTTAATTAAAAATAACCAAAACTAGGGGTAAAAACTGATTCAACAGTGACCCACAACCCTCAAATTGTCACACAGCCAGCCCAAACGACCCCGGAAGAACAGAGAGCAAAGCATACCCGACGAGGAGTCGGAGGATT